TCTACGTTTTTAATTGTTTTATTAGTCCTTTACTTTAATTCCTCATCTTATCCATCTAATTTAATTTAGTCCTTTTCTCGTATAATCATATTTTATCCACTAAATTTATATTTTTAGTAAAAAGTCTGACATTGTTTTTTTTATAGAACTAATTAATTTTATTTAAAATAGGAAATATCCCAAATTACAATAAAGATTTACAATCACAATCGTAAATTAAACACATAATTAGGAAAAATTCTTATAATCATTGAAACAAAACTAGAAACTTAAAATCGTATAAGGACCATACAGGGAAATATTAAATATAACCAAGAAACTCGAACAAAGATAGATACAAACAGATCTGATCGCATTGACAAACGAACCATAAAAGGGGAATAAGCTATTAATAGACCACCTACAAACTGTAAGTCAGACTCGGACGATATGAAAAGCTATCCACGAACGCAAATCGAGTATCCAAATCTAATATGAAGGTCGAAAGCAGAGAATATCATAAGATATCATATAGGGCCATCATGATTAGTCGTGGTGAATCCAAATAAACCTTTATAAAAAACTTAATAAATAAAAAAGGGTCAATGAACCGAAAATATACCAAAAAACATAAGAAAACGTGTCATAAAGGCAGATAAAAACGTACAACACAAAAAGACTTATTAAGAATCAAAAGGAAAAAGAAAATAAAGATGCAATATAAAAAAGAAATAAAAATAAAGAATACCGACGATCAGTAATCAATATTAAAATTGGGATCAACGCAGATCAACAAAGACGAAAAAGAAAAGAGACGAGGGCAGACGAATGAGAGAAAACTATGTTTTTAGAACTAGCAAAAGTCTCACATTGTTAATGAAACAATTTTACTATTAAAATTAGAAATTAAAATAAATTGATCAACAATTGATAGTATGACATTACAAGCAATACCAATATTTAGTAATATATATTTTTTTAAATACCACATCTTTTTCAAATAATGTAACATTCTGTTCGGAATATTATTCGCATACCCATTTGTCCTTTTCAAATAATTTTATCTTTTAAATCATAACCAAAAAAAAACATGTTCTACTAGACTATTGAGATTTTGTCTAATAGTGATAAAAGGTTGTTCTTAGTAAACACCTGGTTTCGAATAATTTATTTACCAAAATTATTAAAATATTTAAAAATAATAATTTTGCGATACAGATATAAAAACATGTAACTACTGATAATTTTAAAAATAAAATCAATTTGTTGATGATTCTGATCTCTGAAGTTTAGAACATCATAAAAAGTTTACAAATATTGTTATTTTTTGAACAAAAATATATTAAATTATTTTTATACACAACCATAATTTTAGGGTAAATTATCTTTTTAGTCAGCCAATTGTTAATGTAATTTTGTTTTAGTCATCAAATTGTAAAATCCCTTCTAGTCATACAAGGGGAAAAGAGTACCTACAGAAACTGTATTACTTGCGATAATAATTCAATACAACAGTCTTACAAATCTTGGAATAAACCGAGTCAAAATACATAGTTGAACCAGACCAAAGTGCCAAACTAGCTAATTTATGAGCCATCTTGTTACAATCACGATTAACATAATTGATAGTAAACCCAATATCAGTAGAAATAGCTATTTCACCTCTGCCAAATGGACTCCTAAAATGGAAATGTTAGTTGTCGTACATTGAAGTTTGTTAGGGCATCAGATTCAAGCCACACGTGCGTTCATCCATACCCCTGACCAAAAGTAAACCAACAATACTCGCATGGATTTCATCTAGACCAACTTCCGCACAAGCTGGTGATGACGAAGCAATAACCCCAACTACTGCCGTGCGCGTTGTCTGATCGAAAGCACCATAAACATTAATCTTCACAACACCTTGTGGTGGGAGACTCAAATGAATCATCGTAGGCGATGAAACCACACTATGCCGATCACCTTGGCCATGTAAACCCGACAAACGATTGTGCCGTTGAGCCTGTAGAAACTCATCCTAGTGAGTCTTCGCATTGGTAACTATGATCCAAGGAGGCTGGAAACGTCCTTCATGAACCAAAGTGTTACGCCCGTTCCATATATTCCAAAGAAGCACAATAAAGCCTACAAAGCTTTCATAATCAAGTGAAGTAAACTCATTCTCAAGCCAATTCAAGGGAGATATTAAGTGGCTAGCTAAGAAAGAACCTGTTAATCCAACAGTAGTGAAAGCTTCTTGGGTGTACGAGTAGTCACACATAATATGGACCACCGTTTCCTCTTCCCCATTACACATGGGAAATGTGCCGGTACTTATACCCGCAGCTCAGAGATGAGAACATACAAGGAGCCCTCCATACGCCATCCTCCAGGCGAAGATCTTGACCTTAGGAAGCGTCTTCAGTTTAGCTATGGTCTTCCATAGCTTTGAAGATCCGTTCGTTGTATGTGTTAACCTTTGGAGCCACCAATGACTCGACCGAACCAAATAAGTCTATGAATCATGGTTACCCCATATAATAGTATCCTAATTGCAAGGAGTTATCAAAGTACCTAAGATGAGATCAACAACAGATGTCGTGAAAGTATCACGTACCTGCATCTCACTCCACTCTGACCGATTAATATGCATGAACTGAGAACCCCTCGAGCTTTGCACTGGAACATTGGTATAATTACTCGTCAGCTTTACCAAAGCAGAGCCACCCCACTTGTCGGACACGAGATTTATCTTGCTATCTTTCCCTATCCGCCAGTAGAAGGCTTCATCAAATGCTTGAATCGCCTTACGTATACCTTTCCATCCATAGGAACTTTTATTCTTGATGGAAACATTCAACAAATCCCCATTAGGGAAGTATTTCATCCAGAGGACACGAGCGAGCAAACAATCCGGTTGTTTAATCAAGCACCAGATTTGTTTCCCAATCAGAGTCATGTTGAATGATCTAAGATCCCGTAGGCCTAGACCACCACGACACTTTGACTTATAAATTGTCGACCAAACAACTATGGGCCAACCGTGTTCAGAAGTCTTCCCGGTTCACCAACATCTACGCATAAATTTTCATACTCACTTTGATTTACTACCATTGAAATATATTCTTTCGAATTCAAATAATGAGAAAGTAAAAAAAAGGAAAAAATATATTAAATTCATATTGATCAAATAGTGAATATTGTGTATTTAAAAAACATAAATCCAACACTTTGATTTGAATTATATCTTAAATTAAGAGGAAGAAAAAGGGAAATAAATAAAATATTTTGGTTCTAGTTATATTACAAATGAAAAGGTACGAGAGATGTGGCTTAAACAAAAGAATTTGAAAGTTTAGCATCATATTAATTTTTTATATTTAGGATGAGTTTGTTTCACCATAGTTGGGTTTTTTTAAATTATTATTTTTTTAATATTTGGTTGGCGGAAAACATATAGTTGATATAAAATTATTAATTATTAAAACGTTTTTATTAATAATTTTAATAATATGATATTATATTGTTGGTGTTATAATAATATATTTAATTATATTATAATGATATAATTTTTAATAGTACAATATTATTATTTTAATAATTAATAATTTAATATTTTTTATTTTAATAATAATTAATATAATTTATAGTATTTTTAATAAAATACAATAATCCTAATATTTTTTTATAAAATTATAGAAATTAAATTTTAATGATAATATTAAAATAAATAATATTGAATAAGTATTCTAACATTTTAAATAATATTAATTTTTTTCTAATAAATAATATTATTCAGTGTATTCAATATTTAAAATAAATAATTTCTAAAAAATTACTAATTAGTAGAAAATAATTTACACAACTTCATCCAAATATCTTAATGATTTCTAAAAATTATACCCTAAAAAATATAATTTATTTTCCAAAATTTGTTTTACGTCAAACAACCATACTCTTAGATGATCAAAATAAAATACATAGAAAATTAAAGACTAAAAATATAGTTAATTTTAGGGAATACTACACATCTAGTACTTCAAATATCACTTTTGTTTTGTTTGAGTCATTCACCTATTTTTAAAACATACATAACGTTTAATTTTAGTTTCATTTTAATCACATTCTTTAAAAATTAACAGTGATATTGACAAGTTGTCATTAAAAAATTAAAAAATCCTATATAAAAAAATTTGTTAATTTTATAATGGTGGATAAACGGGTAAAACCAAAAAGTAACTATATATAATTTAAAAAAAATAGTTAGATGATCAAAACTAAATAAAAATAATAACCATGATACTAAACAAATAGTTTACCCTTTTTAATATAAATTAGAGAAGAGAATCTATATTTAACACCTGTTGTTTTCCAAATGATCTTATTAACAGTGGACCCCATTAACCCCCGACTTAGACAGACAACAGTTCCCCTTTCCTTTAACATTAGAGAATGTAATAAATATTTGGGTAAACTACAGTAATAATTTCTTTCGTTCAATGTGTTTATTTTTCTCATCACATTTTAATAATTTACTTTATTATTTTATAATATTTTAGTTAAATTCCTTTAATTTGTTGATGCGATACATTAATAAGAGGGTTCTTCTTATTTTTTAATTTGACCCTTAAAAGTTAAATAAAATATTAAATAAATCTTTAAATTTTAGATAAAATATTAATTTGATCTATGAACTTTAGATAAAATATTCATTTAATCTTTGAACTTTAGATAAAATATTAATTTTATCTTTGAATTTTAAATAAAACATCAATTTAAAATTAACAGTATTTAATATTTAAATAAATAAAACGTTATAATACAATAACATAAATAGCTAAAACTTTTTTTTAATTCAATGAGCAAAATTGAATACTTATGAAACAAAAGTGACCATTGCATTAGTTTACCCTAATTAATTAGTAAATTTATATATATGTGCATATCGTCCTCCATTAAAGGGGTCTTTCTCTTTTATAAAAATCACTTCTCACAGTTCTGATAAACAGACAAATGTATAATATATGGTTTTAACTTTAAAAAGAAAAAAAGTTTTGTTTTTATGATAGCCGGCGATGCCTACGCCGCTGAGTATAGCGCGGCAATGCTTAACGCCAGAGGCAGCTCACGCGTTAGACGAGGCGGTGAGAGTCGCACGACGGAGGGGACACGCGCAAACGACGTCGCTCCATGCCATTTCCGCTCTTCTTTCTCTCCCTTCATCCCCACTACGTGACGCCTGCGCTCGTGCCCGTAACGCGGCTTTCTCCCCTCGCCTCCAATTCAAAGCGTTGGAGCTTTGCCTTAGCGTGTCGCTGGACCGAGTCCCCTCGAGTCAACTCAGCAACGATCCGCCCGTCTCCAACTCGCTAATGGCCGCCGTAAAGCGGTCACAGGCGAAACAGCGAAGACAGCCCGAAAATTTCTATCTTTATCGCGACATGTCGCAGCAAAATCCTTCCAATAATATCTCATGTGTCAAAGTGGAGCTCCAACACTTGATTTTATCCATCCTCGATGACCCAGTTGTTAGTCGGGTCTTCGGCGAGGCATGTTTCCGGAGCTCAGAGATCAAGCTGGCATTCATCCGCCCCCTCCCTAGTCTCTTAAGATACTCCCGATCACGTGCCTCACCGGTTTTTCTTTGCAATCTTGAAAATTCGGAATCGGATCATGGAAACACCCGGATCCCAGTACATCGGGGCTTCAGTTTCTCGTTCCCGGGTTTTGCATCGTTTTATGAAGGAGAAGAAAACTGTAGGAGAATAGGAGAAGTTTTGGCGCGAAGGAGGAATCCGCTACTCGTTGGTGTATGCGCAAACGATGCAATCGCGAATTTCACGGAATCATTGGAGGAAAAAAAGGATGGATTTTTGTCCAAAGAAATCCGGGGGTTAAACATAATTAGCATCGGAAAATTTATGTTGAAGTGCATTAATGAAGGTTTTGATAAAGGGAAGATGGATTCAAAATTCGAAGAAATGGGTCGGGAAATGGAAGGATCCGGATCTGGGGTGGTGGTGAAGTATGGGGATTTGGAAAATTTTGTCAGTGGAAAAGATGAAGACAAGAACGACGGCGTTAGTTATGCGGTTGGACAGTTAACGAGGTTATTACAAGTGTATGGAGGTAAAATCTGGTTGTTGGGAGCTGCAACCAGTTACCAGACATATTTGAAATTCTTAAGCAGGTTTCCTTCAGTTGAAAAAGTTTGGGATTTGCAGATTTTGCCTATCACTTGTGTTAAGAATTCACTGGCTCAGTCTTACCCCAAGTCCAGGTATGTGTTGTTATGTAGCATCACCATTTTCCTATGCTTTTATTGCTTTCTTCTGTTTCCATGTGTAACGTGTTGTTACCATCTTCAAATTGAATCCGACTCCATCTCATGGTTTATGTAACTACAGCTTGACGGAGTCGTTTGTTCCATTTGGTGGGTTCTTTGCTACACCATCCGAGTCAAAGGGGTCCTTAAGCAGCTCATATCGACATGTACCCCGCTGTCATCTATGCGACGAGAGGTGTGCACGAGAAGTGATGGCGATTTCAAAGGGAGGATTCAGTGTTTCCGTGGCAGATCAGTGTCGATCTACTTTGCCTTCTTGGTTGCAGATGACAGAGGTTGGAGACTTGAAGGTGTGTATCCCTTGTTTTGTGCTAGTATTTGCAGTGGGGATCATTCACTTGCACCCACAGGTCATTGATGGATGCACTCTATACGTAATTTATATTCGGATAATTTGTGAAATTTATGTGAAAACAAGTTTGTCTATCTTCAGTGCAGGCCAAAGATGGGCAGTTATTAAACACCATGGTAGCAGGATTGCAAAGCAAGTGGGACAATATTTGCCAGCGCCTTCATCTCACTCATCCAGGCCCCCACTCAAACACTTATAGAGAAAATCCTCCATTACCAACTGTTCCGGGCTTTCGCTTCATCCAATACAAGAAGGAAATTGCTTGTGGTCATAGTAGCGGCAATAGAAATGCAGCCTATGGTGAAAATAATCTCATAAATTTAACTTCCTCTGTAGTATCCAGGACTGAAAATGGAACTTTCCTGCCCAAACTAGGGGGGAAACCTTCAAAAGGAGGTGTTTTCAAAGCAACTGAACCCGTATCTCCTTACTGTTTTTCCAATTCAAGCGTGGGTGATGCTAGTCAAGCATCACCTACATCTCTGACTTCTGTGACAACTGATTTGGGGTTGGGTTTATGCTCGATTTCCCCAAGCAAGACCTCGATGAAACCTTCAAATCGAAACCATCCAGATTTACTTCCTGCAAATGTTGATGCTATTAATGGGACTGTCTCTAGCCATCCATCTCAGTCCTCATCCTCTTCCTCTCCTGACTTTGGTGGAAAGCTTAACGTAAGCAATTTCAAGAAGCTTTTTGAAGCTGTCATCGAAAAAGTTGGATGGCAACCTGAAGCTGTAAGTGTTATATGCCAAACAGTTGCCAGTGGCCGTGCACCAAACCAAACATGTCACAGAGCCAGTCGAAGAGGTGATATATGGTTGAATTTCTCTGGACCTGATAGATGTAGCAAAAAGAAAATTGCTGTTACCCTTGCAGACATAATATATGGAACCAGAGAAAATTTCATCTGTGTGGATCTAAGTTCCCAAGATGGGGTGGTGACGGGCATGCAGTTTCGCTTCAGTTCCCGGGAAGTGAATTATGATTCAAGGTTCCGAGGGAAGACTGTGGTTGACTATATTGCCGATGAGTTGAGCAAGAAGCCCTTGTCTGTTGTCTTCCTTGAAAATGTAGATCGAGCTGATATTCAGGTTCAGAGCTGCTTGTCCCAAGCTATCCGAACTGGCAAGTTTTCAGACTCGCATGGAAGAGAAGTTGGCATCAGCAATGCGATATTCGTGACAACTTCAACATTAACCAAGGGAAGTCAAGTTGTTTGTTATAAACAACAAACATCTAACTATTCTGAAGAGAAAATATTGAGAGCCAAGGGTAGGCCACTGCAGCTAGTGATCAAGTATGATGACAACATAATTACAAAAACAAATAGCATCTCTAAGCAGGGGCTGTTGAATAAAAGAAAGCTGATCGGTTCCCATGAAACTCTGGAGCAGCATGAGATGATGGAAATTACCAAGCGGGCTAACCGAACATTGTCTTTGAATCTAGATTTGAACATTCCGGCTGAAGTAAGTGTATTGCAGGAAACTGATGAAGCAACTGTTGACAATGACTGTGTCGATGAGAGCCCCATGCATTGGTTGCAGGATTTCTTTGATCAATCTATCAAGAACGTGGTATTCAAGTCATTTGATTTTGATGCACTTGCGGGGGAAGTACGTGACAACTTAAACCAGAGTTTCCACAAGTCGATAGGAGCAGAGTGTTCGTTAGAGATAGAGTCGGAAGCTATGGAACAACTAGTAGCAGTTGCATATTTATCCGATGAGAAAAGGCTGTTGAAGGATTGGGTGGAACAAGTTCTTAGCAAGGGATTTGCTGAAGTAGAGAAAAAGCGCAACCTCAACGCTCACACTGTGGTGAAACTTGTCCCCTATGAGGGCTTCCCTTCTGAGGAGCAAACACTAGGACTAAGTGTTTGTGCTCCCCCAAGAATTATTCTCAATTAATATAAGCATGTTTAGCTTCATAATCCCATGATTTTTGGGGCACCTTCCAGTTCCAGGTAGATAGGTCGTGTATAATCAAATCTGCAGTGAAGTGTTGGTGAAAAAGACCCTTTTTTTTCAGTTTTTTGCTTGGTTTGATTGCCTATGGGTGTTTTTGATATTGAATGAAGTAATCATTTTCTTACATTTATCATGTACCATGTACTACAAATATCTGAAAGAGTAGGGTGAATCTTTTAGATGAAATTGCAGGTGCTTTCAAATATCTTGCAGAACCCCACCCTATAAGAATCTGATGGAATGTAGCATATTCAATTATATTATTTTTAAAATGGTTAGACAATTTGTAATAATGATAATGTTCCACCTCACAGCACCATGCTCGGTGTGGTGTTTCAAACTACGAAAGCTACATATCAAGTGATAACATGAATTCCAATATCCATTGGTAGTCAAGATATAGTGTCTGTAAGCCGACTCCAGTGAGTATTTGAGTGAGCCCCCACAGCTTGATACCAACAGGCCTTTCAGGCTCTACAGCTTCAGTTTAATTTTCAGGGATTACTAGGCAACAAAAGGGATGTAAAAGGAGAAACGATACATAGTTATCCAATAGAGCAGATAACATAAGACAAGAAGAGGCCAAGGGCTTGTCTTCCACTTCCTAGTTCCCAATAGCTGCTGCTGCTCATTGGTTGTCCTTTGTAGTATGTAGTAAACGTTTTTTAAGTTCTAAATGTTAATATGATACGTTACTATTAATTGGGGATGTAGCTCTGATGGTAGAGCGCTCACTTAGCATGTGAGAGGTACGGGGATCGTTACCCCGCATCTCCACTTTATTACTTTAATGTTGGACAACTGTCATATTTTTTTAATCAATGATTGTAATTATTATAATTAAAAGTAAGATAAAAGCTGATGAGTTTAATTTTACAACATATACATGTGGAAAATTCAAAAAAGAAATCCAAGTTTCATACTTACAACCTCATCTTCATCCCCCAGCTTTTATTAAAAGAAGTACCTCATATCTCTCTTACAACACAGTTTATACAACTTACAAGCAGAACACTAGTTATACAACCAAAACAACTTCAGATACGGACTGATGCAGTTTATGCAATAGCATGAAGAAGCATCTGATTGAAGTGCCACACCCCTAAATATAGATGAACAAGACCAAATCATGCAGTTAAAGATAGCACCTTTCAAACTATGGCTGTAAAGAAGAATAGATTCGTACCATGTCCTTTTCCAACTCTTCTTAACTGAGCCACGTATCCTGATATTTTCTTGATGGCCTCCAGGCTCCACCTATAACGAGAAATCACAACGGGATCAAAACCCCGACTCCAGCATTCATCACTAAAGGAAAATTTCATAGAAACCGAAATTTTATTATACCTGCCCAGCTAAATATTTGCGTTCAATGAATTCTGTCATCTGCACATCATGGCTCCGCACAGCTACCTGTTTACCAAAGCCTTGACTATTAGTTCAAATAGAACTATTTTTCTATCATTTTAGAAACTTCCATCTGCGGATCATGATTTTATCCAATGATTACATAAACCTAATTAATGAAGCCATAGACCTTATTGGCATTTTTAAAATCAAACTTTACAGTTACAAACATATAACAAGATAGAAAAGAATTATATAGGGAGGGAGAACCTTACACTATGCAGGTCCAATAGCTTTTCATTTGTTAGTTTCTCAAGAGACAAGGCGAGCTCCATTGCTGAACCAAAGAATTAGACACAATAGGCTTCTATCGCATATAACATGCTAACACCCGAAGTACATTTTTCACAACTTTTGAAAAATATGACATTATCAAGCAATCCAAGTCAACATTAAGAAAGATAATGAGATGAATACAGGACAAATTTCAAGATGCTTAATGGAGTTAACAAGTGAATGTATATCTCATTGTGTGCTGTTCATGTTGATATATGAACACACCAACCATATAAAATGAAACTAGAAGAAAGAAAGCAACCAAATAAGAAATGAAGCACATTTTTACCAAACCAACGACAAGCTCCAATAATATTAAACTCACCATACAATGCATCTCCTTTCTCTTCGTGATCAAACTCAGAGAGGTGTTGCAGAAGACGGCTATCGAATGGAGCAAAATCACAACTGATAATTTGAGAAAATAAAAATGAAGATAAAAGAGACACAAAATTTACGTGGAAAACCCCTAAATAATATAGGGTAAAAACCACGGGCAACAGTAGAATAATTTCACTATGAGAAAAAATAGGAATTACAACCTCTCTCGATCTACCAAGGAGAAAATAATGATAATTCTCTCTTGATAAAAAGGAGAAAACAACACTCAAGAAACTCTCTAAATTCTCTCTAGTATTGGAAGAAAGCTAGAATGCTTTGGGATGGTTTTGAAGTTAAATGAGATAGGGTATTTATAGCTAAATCTTAAGGACTTAATCTTGTAAATACCCTAAATTTTAGTGACTAGAGTTTGTAATTTGACCATATAAAAAATAATAAAAAATTATGCACCTAATTTTCGGTGCCAACCCATTTATTATTTTTGACTTTCTACAATCTCCCACTTGAAGATTTGATTGGAACAATCATATCTTCACACCATTCTTTCTACCTTGTACCATCATGTTGCTTACGTCTCTGACAGGCCACAGGAGGATCGACACCAAATAAATTTATCAGTATTGATCGCCTTCGTCATGAAATCTGCTATGTTATCTTTGGTATGGATTTTCTGCATATCTATCGTCCCTTCTTCCACCTTTTCATGAATGAAATGGTACTGAACTCGTATGTGCTTTGTTCTTGAATGAAATGCTGGATTCCTTGCTAAATGCAAGGCGCTTTGACTGTCACAAAACAGAGAGACATACTCTTGATTGTGCCCAAGCTCCTCTAATAGCATCTTCAACCAAATTGCTTCTTTACTGGCTTGTGTAGCTGCTACATATTCTGCCTCTGTTGTGGATGTAGCCACAACTGACTGTAATTTTGAAACCCAGCTTACAGCTCCACCAGCAACTTTGAACACATATCTTGTAGTAGATTTGCTTTTATCCAAATCCCCTGCATAGTCAGAATCTACATACCCATTGATTAGTAAGTTTGATCCTCCGTAACATAATGCAATATTTGAGGTCCCTTTGATGTATCTCAGGATCCTCTTTACTGTATTCCAATGCTCTTTGCCTGGATTCGCCATGTACCGACTAACCACTCCCACTGCTTGTGCAATGTCTGGTCTTGTGCATATCATAGCGAACATTAAGCTTCCCACTGCTGATACATACAGTACTCAAGACATCTCTATCCTCTCTTCTTCACTGCTAGGACTCATACTGGAGAATAATTTGAAGTTAATAGGAAGAGGGGTAGAAATTGGCTTACAATCTTGCATGCTAAATCGTGACAAGATTTTCTTCAAGTAATTCTTTTGTGAAAGCCAAATCTTCCTATTACTTCTGTCTCGGTGAATTTGCATCCCTAGAATCTTGTTTGCTGATCCCAAGTCCTTCATTTCAAATTCCCTAGCCAGTTGTGCCTTCAATTCTTCAATATGATATTTGTTGGGTCTTGCAACCAACATGTCATCCACATACAACAGCAATATAACAAAATCGTTATCACCAGACCTCTTGAAATAAGCACAAGGGTCAACATTAAGTCTGTTGTATCCAAGGCATATAATGAAGGTATCAAATCTCTTATACCAACACCTCGGTGCCTGCTTTAGACCGTACAAAGATTTGTTCAACCTGCAAACCAAGTTCTTCTTTTCGTCTTCTTCAAAACCTTCAGGCTGGAGCATATAAATCTCTTCTTCAAGATTTCCATGAAGAAAAGCTGTTTTAACATCTAGTTGCTCTAGATGTAAGTTCAATGTAGCACACATTGCCAAAACTACTCGAACTGTTGTTAGTCGAACCACAGGAGAAAATATTTCATTGAAATCAATACATTCCTTTTGAGCATATCCTTTGACCACCAGTCTTGCACGATACCTCTCAACTTGATCGTCACCATTTTGCTTAATTTTGAAGACCCATTTGTTACCAATTGGCTTCCTTCCTTGTGGTAGTGGCACAAGGTCCCATGTATTATTTTTATGAAGGGCTTCGATTTCTTCTTGCATCGCCATCATCCACAGTGAAGCATCTGAGCTGTTTATTGCCTCTTGGTATGTTGATGACTCACCATCCTCTGTTAAAAGACATTATGCAATATTACCTTCTATAACATAATCTGAGTGCCAATTGGGACGTCTTCTCACACGATCTGATTGACAAGTTGTTGGAGCTTCAGAACTCTCTGGTTCTTGTTCATAATGTGTTGGTTCTGCTTCAAAAGAATCTCCTTGTTCAACCTCCTTTTCCACATGTATCTGAGTAGTCTCTCTGACTTTTCAGTTCTATCATCGTCTTCTTTTCTTTGTAGTTTATCCTCTACAAAGATAACATCCCTGCTGATGATCACTTTGTGGGCAGTGGGATCCCATAAGTGATACCCCTTGACTCTATCAGCATACCCCAAGAATTTGCATTTCCTGGATTTTGGATCAAACTTTGAAATTTCTTGGGCGTTGTACATCACGTACACAATACTTCCAAATACATGGAGGTTTGAATAATCAGCTGGTTTACCAGTCCACATCTCTATTGGTGTCTTTAGCTCTATTGCAGTTGATGGAGCTCGATTCACCAAATAACAGGCGGTATTGACTGCTTCTACCCAGAATGATTTTTCTAGGCCTGCATCCCTCAACATTGCTCTTGTTCTTTCTAACAAGGTTCTGTTCATCCGCTCTGCCACTCCATTTTGTTGAGGAGTGTTTCCCACTGTGAACTGTCTTTTGATGCCTTATTTCTTGCAAAAGTCATCAAATTCTTCACTTGTGTATTCTTATCCATTATCTATTCTGAAACACTTGATCTTATTTCCAGAATCAAGTTCCTCCCGCGCTTTAAAATTTTTGAAAGTGGAAAATACATCTGACTTCTTCTTAATAGGGTACACCCAACATCTCCTGGAGTAGTCATCAATAAATGAGACAAAGTATTTTGCTCCGCCTAGGGATGTAACTGGTGCTTGCCATACATCAGAGTGCACCAATTCTAGAACACTTTTGGCTCTAGAATTTGACGTGTTGAATTTCAACCGGTGCTG